GTCAGGGAGCAGTCGCTGACAATGGAAAATCGGAGCTGTTTTTCGAAAGGTGGGCGGGCCACTGTCGAATTTCCGTCACCTGCAGGCTGGCGGAAACGGTTGCTGGAGGGCAGCTGTCGAAAGTGCCATCCTGACACCTGTCGAAAGTTTTTTGAGCCGCAATTCTTCGAAAGTCTGTGTGGCGATGCGAAATTGTCGAAAACCGGGTTTTCGACAGCCTGTGTGGCGAGCCTCTAAGATCAAGTGTAGTATCTGTTCTGATCAGTATGGTATTGTCCGGCCTCGATTCAAGTGTTGACTTATAATGAATTCGAATTCCTTTTTTTTTTTCTTTTTTTTTTTTTGGAAAGCAGCATTGGGCATGGCTCCACTACTCTCGGCATGGGCAAAGCGCGAGTGAATGTTCTGCTAGAACATGGAAAGATACACCGCCATGATTTTTGTCTTTTGTGCATGTGGAGAGTAGTGGAGGGAGGCCCTGTATGCAACACTCCTTGCTGCGACAGCGCTGCCAGGAGTTTTTTTTTAGTTGGTCTGAAAAAAGGCCAACCAATTCAATTGCCCGACAAATCTGGACGGGATGGCCTTCCAGGCCCTTTCTATTATTATTATGGTCTTTATAGTATTAGGGGGAACAAGTAGCAGCCACATCTGTGTTCAAGCCTCCCTCCGACGAGGGAACATGCTGCGCTGCAGCCAGGGGTCAGCTGATAGCATCACGAGCGAGATCCCACCACTGATGTATGTATGTGGAGTGTATGTGCATTAGTGTTAAACTTTGAGGTGTGTGACTGTCAGGCATTGTGGATTCCGCAGGAAATCAGCGGTAGCCAGTTTTTGTGAATTAAGGCCGGGAAAAGGATGTATTTTTTTGCTCTCCCATTGGTAGGTTTTTCTTTCGTTTTTGCTGTGGGGGTCCTGTGGCAGTCCCAAACGTGCGTGAAATCATGCACCTTTCATTCACGGCCAAGGCAATGACGAATGGCTTCATCGCTGGAAATTGATTGTGATTTGGGAGGTGTTTGGGAGGTGGGTTCGATCCCCTCACGTACAGCAAATGGTGTATGGAGTTACTCTTGCCCTCCTTTGCCAAAGAGAATTTCTGTCAGAACAACCGAACAGCGTGCACTGCAGCCTATTTCAAGGAAGCCTCAGACTATTGTCAATGAATATGGTCCGTGTGGCCACTCACATGCAGTCGTCTTGACTGCCACAGTGGCCATGGTCAGTGAATCACACCCTGACATCTGACGCCCCGCCTGGAGCAGACACCATCTGTGAGAAGACCACTTTCTTTTCTTTTTTAGCAGTTTTTTCTTCACTTGTTTGGTCATGAAATGATTTTTTTTTTTTGCGTTTATTTTCCCTATTTCATGCTGCCACCCACCTGTCCCCCAGTGCACCCGTCCCACGCCCGTCACACTAATCCACATACATGGCTAGTGGGATCTCGCTCCACGACCGAGCTTCTTTTTTTTTCTTTTCTTTTTTCTTTTTCTGAGAAAGCTTCATTACAGGAGCACGCTAACAGGGGTGGTAATGGCATCCTCCTTTAGGAGCCCTGCATTGGAAAGCTCCATCTATTGGGGGGGACCTTCACCTGTTGGAAACCGGGTCCGGCATCCCATTGTTACACATTGCATTGTGAGGATTGAAACACTGTCAACGGGAATGCTGTAACCTACACCTGATTTTTGCTGGTTGATCTGAGCCAGCCCTAGATGCGCTACTTGTCCAGTATAGAGAGCACCCAAACTGATCTCGGCTGGCTATCCTTGTTGTAGAACCCACTGGCAGATGATTGAGGAGATCATACGGAAGTTTATCTCTGCTTTCTGCCTGGCCAGGACTTCTTCAGCAGCAGAGTTCGGTGCACTGTGGACGTAACAATTTCCCCTCATCGAGCAGTCTGTGTCGTAGTCTGTCTTGTTGACATGGTGATGGGGGTGCGGGGGGAGGGAGGGTAAGGGGAGCAAGAACTTCAGACAATGGAGGGGGTCAGGGAGGAGTGAGGTAGGGGGATATCTGAGTTAAAGGCTGTCTCTTATACACATCTAGATGTGTATAAGAG